TTTATGAAGATGAAACTTCCCCATTAAAATGAACAATTGTATGAAGTATACGTTATCTTTGTCAAATCCATAATCACTGATGTATATTATTACATCAAATCCACTCAACTGCAAAGAAATATCCAATATTTTCTTAATAAAAAACTCCACATCAATCCAAAATATGTTTGTATGTGTACAGTGAAAAAATAAATGAAAAATAGTTTGCTTTTCACCTTTACAGAAATCACAAGAGTAATCAGTGTCTGATTGAAAGCGTTCCAGCACGTGTTTAACTGGATATATTCTGTGCATTACTTTAAAAGAAACCTCTTTTACTTTGTTATTAATATAGAATGAGTCTACTGTTCGCCAAGCGTTACGCCAAACACAGAAGACCAGAAAAACCAGCTGGAGGAGCAACTCTGTTATTACACATCTTCCTAATATAGTTATTTGAGAGTCTATTTTGTGTAGTACTTGTATTATCACTAAATATTTTATGATTTTAAATCATTACATATAACAACTCCCAGATGGTTTTTAATTGGAATATTATGGGAATGAGTTAAAGAACACTCTTCGAGAGGAAACAGAACTGATTTATTCATATTCATTCTTAGCCCTGACACATCTGAAGATTATTGTTTACAGTTCACTGCTTTAATGATTTCATGCACATCTTTCACAAATAAGCTAGAGTCATCGGCAGACTGATGTAACTTAATGTTCTCCCTAATGCAGCAATTCCTTGAGAATCACCGTCTTTACTGTGAAGGGCCATTATTAGCCAAACAGGTGAGAGCGACACCCTTGCCTTATTCCCCCGCCTGTATTCATCTGCCAGAAGTCCTCTGCTAATCTCACAGAACTGGTACGTCTTTCGTATAAGGTCTCGATTGCATTTGGAAAATAACAGCCAAAGCCCAAAAATTCAATTGCTCTGAATAAAAAATGGTGTTCTATGGTATCAAATGCCTTGTGAAAATCAATAAATACAATAAAACTATCATCTGAAATATATTCGTTGTAGTCTACCATATCTAGCATTAATCTAATATCATTATAATGTGTCTTCCTTGAATAAATCCGGTCTGTTCCTCATCTATGATACTTTTTAATCCTTGTTTCAGTCTTTTGGCAAAGATTAGAGCAAATAACTTGGCATCATTATTTAATAGACTAATGGATCTCCAAATCTCTAAATAAAGAATATTTGTGCTTGGCTTTGGGATTCGTGTAATAACACCTTGTCTTAAAGAGGCGGGGAATTCCTCTTTTTCAGTGGATTCTATGAACACTGCGAGCAAAAAAGCAGCTAACTTGTCTGGAAAGACTTGATAAAGCTCACTAACAAGCCCATCATCAGCTGGAGAGCGATTCTCTTCAAGGTTACCAATACATTCTGTAACTTCCTCCAACTTGAAATCATCATCAATAACTTTGGCTTTATCTTTGACGCTATTTAGAAAGCTATTCAAATCAGAAGATACTGATTTAGAAGTATATACATCTTTATAAAACTGAGCAACAAACTGTGGAGTCTTTTTTTCATCCTCTATAACTCTATTATTACTTGAAGAAGTCAATTCACCATTCCGCTTTCTCCAGATTAAAAAATACTTACTCCAACCGTTTATATCTTGATCTGATAAAGCTTTCTTCGTAAATGTTATCCAGTTGCTCTTGTAATGACGATGCATCTCAAATCACCTTTACTGGACAGTCGCATTATTTCTTTAATAACCTTAGATTCTTTTTGTCTTTTAATTAAAGCTATGGATTTCCCCATTGAAAAAGTTCCTAATTTCATATTTCATTATCTCCCAATGTTGTCCATAAACATTCATTATTTTAGCCTGGGACCAGTGTTTGTCAATTATCTTTGAAGCCATTATTTTAAAATTATGATCATCTAATAATTTTTTATTACATTTCCAAAAACCTCTTTTGAATTTCGATTCAACTGGACCATGTACGTTAATAAAGATTGATGTACCCTTATGGTCTGTTAAACCTGACGGCTCTATACACACAGCTGTGATATTACATGTGATATTAGGAACAAATCAATGCGTGATTGTTTAGAATAATCTTTGTTATTCCATGTATACATCCTTGTGTCTGGATGTTTGAGACGCCAGATATCAGATACACTACCGAAATCCCCTCCCCGTACAATATTTGCAAGGGGAAATGTATTCTTAATTTGTTTCAATATCATTGTTAAGTTGTCTATTATTGGTGGCATATGAACTCACAAGAGTGTAATGAGTATGATCAATGTTAACATGTAGGCTAATATTACCATTCTTCCCAAATGAAACCCGACTCTTGAAGTTTCCTTTTAATATAGTGACCCCAGCCGATCTAGCGGTGCGTTTCCCCATCGACTTCTCCTAAACGTTTCATCTTCCTCACAGGCATGCGTTTCTTGCACAAAATAAAAATAAAGATTTCCTTTTCAAAAGATTGCGTAAACCTCTGGCATTCATTGAGAAACCTGAAATAGACATTTTACACTTGTCCTCTTTTAAACTAAATGATTAAACAAGGGTCTTTTATTGAGTATTGTTAGCTGCATAACTGTTTGTTGCATATCGTTCTGCAGTGTACAGACTAAATAACAACCTGTAACCACAGTTTTGCTTTCTCTTGAATCTGAGTATTAGTAGTCTTGTAATTCTACCATAACAAAAACTTGTTATATATACAGCATACTGTTTACGCAACGGAAGGCTGCTTACTCCAAGCCAACTACATTTCAGTCACCTCTCTCTTATCTATGTATGCCTTGTTACCCACAAAGTACGCTATCTTCCCCTCTTTGCGTGCCTTTTCAACAAGAGGCCATAACTTGGTGCGTGCTTCTTTATCTGCAGTAGTCAGATCCTCTTTGAAACATAGATGTTTCCTTTCCAGATATTCATTGGTTTTGGCATTTCTCCAATCTACGCCAAGTCTCTTGTCGTCCGAGAAAGAAACCTGATGATCGCTGGTCGCGGTGTTACAGTCCTCTTCAGCTCTGGACGTTTGCCAATCCTGTGGACTACGTCGATGGATGCTCAGCTTCTGGAAGGATCTCTTTACGTATTTCTTTCACAACCGCTTTGACATCTTCTCCAGATCTCTCAGGGACTCCGTACAGACCTGTTGTACCGCTCAGCGTCATTCATCCTCTGCTCCATTTCTTGAAGTTTCTTTTGAGATTCGGCACACTGTGTTTTTAGACATGCATTCTGCTTTTTTGAATCGGCAATGTCTTGAGAACAGTTATCAAGCGACTTTTTAAGTCCCTCGATTTGTAGAGTGTTCTGTTTGACTGAATGTATGCACTTTGAATGCAAATTAATTTTGTTTAGATTTGTTCAACTTTTGCTTGCAATTAATGCACTTAAATGTGTTTAAGTGACTTAGAACAACATAATAATATTGAAAGTATTCTGTACACAGATGTAAATTACAGTACTATTACATACAAATACAGTTCTCTCATAAACGACACTGTATGTCAAATATGTAGAAAATTAAACTTCATAGAGTTCATATCGCAGGAGCTGGTGATGAAAATTTCAACTATAAGTTTTATTGGAGTATACCGTATAAGAAAGTGTATTGAAGTTTAGAAGAAAAATACATTTCAATTGCCTTAATGCACATAGTATATATTATAGCCTAAATACATTTAAAATACATTAACAAATGTAATTTTGGAGAACACACTTAAGTTGATTATTATTTTACATGTGCTTTAGTATATTGATAAATATATCAAAATAAGTGTACTTATTTAAAGCACAATAAAATCAAAATTATGTCAAATGCATGTTTAAGTAATACTTAATTAGACATGTTTATAAAGTGCACTTAAGTATGTTAAGACCTATTGTCATTAAAGTGTACTCTCTTTAAGTACACTTAAGTGGCCTTTAATTTAAATTATATCATATTATCTGCAAGTGCACTTTTTAAAAGGTATACTTTTAAGATTTGAAGTACACAAAAAGTACACTTTTAATACAATTAAGCACACTGCTTTTTCACAAGGGTATACGAGGGACAGTATGATAACACTGGTGAAATGCATTCCTTTAAGTAATAAACCCTGAGCCTTTGCAAAAAAAATGCAAGCGCTGACTAGCTCGTGTACAAACATAGTCCACTCGATGACTCCGAGTAGATACCTAAATACTATAATATACATGCCGAAATCTGAACTGTTTGTCAGCACACTGACTATAGCTGTATCATCTGAAAATGTAATAATGTGATCCTGCAGGGGAGCTCAGATGTTTTGATATCTAGAAAACTTGCTAAGATAACCGAGTAGGACCGAGAAACTCGATAGTCAATCAAGTAAAATCACAGTCATAGGAACTAAAACGCCACAAAAAGCCAATACTGGTACTCTTCCACTTCCCTCATTAAAAAAGAAAGCAGACCTGAAGTGCATTTCATTTTCTGAAGGATCAAAACCACGTTTCTCAGACATTAAACAAGATATTTCATTTATTCTGCAAGCAGTATCAGAGCAACTTGATGAAGATGCAGTCGTGTGAATGAACCGAAGAGTGAGGAACACAGACAGAGATAGAGATAGAGATAGAGCTGAAGATGAGGAGTGGAGATCAGAGCCGCTCCAGAATCACTCAGACTTCTTCTTCGCTCCAGGAACCTTGGCCTGAATCCTGAGACACACACACACAGAGTCATATGGACGTTACTTTGACTCCATCACCACTGATAACAGATCACTCTGCACTGTAATCTACAAACAAACATCTCCTGCTAGCTGCTTTGAACAAATTTAATTAAATATTAATTACCAAGTCACACTGTGGGACTCGGCGTTGGGAGGCTGTGCATCAGACTAACCCACAGCAAGTCCTCAAGAAGCTTCTTTAACATGAGAATCAGTGCACAAGCTACTGTATGCTGAGGACTGAGCTAGACCAGCTCACTCACACACACACACACACACACACACACACACACACACACACACACACACACACACTGCCAAACTGACATGAACATTACTTGACGCTCAAGAGAACGCTGCATGTATTTTCACTTGGAAAACCATCTAATTCATTCAATAAATTGCCTTTTGTGGTTTCATTAATCACACATAATTTCAGCCGGAAAACAACAGCCGTGACCATTACCTGATGTGTCTCATAGACTATTGGGCCGCTGAAAGCTCCAATCAGACCTGCAGCACAAGAGATAATAAAACACCACTGAATGCAATTATGGCTCATCTATGATCAGGAGCTCTGAAGAACAACCCATAACAAAACATGAAAGTTCAAAATGAAGTGAAAGCGACTCAGTGACCTTACCGAGAATGAGAAGCGTGAGTCCGTTAAACCAGGCACCGACATAAGTGAGGACCCACAGAAACACTGCGAACTGGAGAAGAAACAGAACATGTTCACTGTGAACAAGTGTGTCTGACAGATCCTGACAGCAACAAACGTCACAGATTGGCACACAGACCAGACTAGACTTCAGTCATACCTGCACACTCATGAGGAAAGAAGAGGGGCACACAGTATATATTATAACAAAAGAGAGTAAATCAATGTTTAGGATTATTATAGGGACTGATATTACAATCCAATCTAATATATTTGCAATTAAACTCTTATCATCATTGTTATGAGAATATAGTCACGTGACCGCATTATCCTTTATGCACCATTACGGGACGCCTGGAAAATGGTTGAGGTGATTTGATTGACATGGTGCCCAGAGCAGAATGAATTTCAGCGGTAATGAATCTGGTAGAGATGTAGAGCTGGATGTCATCAGCGTAGCAGTGGAAGTGCAGAATATGATGACGTGAGACTACCAAGGGAAAGCATGTGAAGGGTGAATAGAAGGGGGCCGAGCACCGAACCCTGGGGTACACCTTGAGACAGAGGGGCTGTGGAGGAAGTACAAAGACAAACTGCTGTCTGTTTGTCAGATATAACCTTTGCCAGGACGGGAGAGTGCCAGTGATGGAGGAGGATTCAAGATGGGAGAGGAGAATGGTATGGTTGAGAAGCTGCAGTGGGGTTAAGAAGGATGAGGATGCTGTGGAAACCAGTCTGAAGAAAGGAGGTGGTTGATAGTGACTACTATGGATTGTGTACTATGCTGTGAGTAAAAACCTGAATTGAAGGCAATGGCTCTGACAATAATCCAGTCTTTTTGGCAGAAAGGAGAGAGTAGAGATGGCTCAGAAATTGCCCATGATTTTTTAAGAACTGATAGTCGAATGATGACAAGAGCCAGTTTAAGTGTTTGTGGGACTGAACTAGAACTGAAGGAAGCATTAGTGACTTCAGCGAGGAGAAAACTGGAAAATATTCCTTGAAAATATTAAATGAGATAGGATCTCATTTCATCTCCTACCATGCAGCCGGACAGCTCTGTTGTGCTCAGGCATGAAAACAGAGACAGGCGAAATAGTGAACAGAGCTGAAATACACAGAGAAGTGGAAAGGGTGATGGATGTTGGGTTGAAGGAGTTGGAGGTGTTATCACTAGGTTTGAGGAGTTTATTTATTGTAGAATGAGAGCTTTGAAGTCAATGGAGCCAGAGTCTATGAGGTCAGAGGAACAGGTTGAACAGGCTGTGAAGAGAGCGTCTGTTTTGTTGAATGATCTGAAGATGCACTGTGAGTCTTGCCGTTTGCTGGGATTTCATTTCATGAGGTTCAGGTGAATACCAGCGAGCCGAGTGTGTAGATGAAACCATTTCAGTTTTGATAGCAGCCAGCTTATCAAGACAAGAGGAGAGCATATCAATATCACAGTTAAGACGACAGGAGGACTGGCATGACAGCAGAAATCTTACTGACAAAAGAGGGCCAGAGAGCAGAGCGAGAGGGATGTCTGAGACTTATGAAATACAGAGAGCAGCAATGACCAGAGTTTAAAATCAAACTATTCAAACAAATGAGCAGCAGTGATGAAGATGGCGGCTGTTTTCAATTCCATCTTGTACTCAACAGCTCCCCCTGAACACAAGGCTCGCAGGTAAATCCTGTGGGTGTGGTCTGGTGTAGTAAGAAATAATCCAGAGGTTTCAGGGTTCAGTGAAAGAGCTGTCAGTTGAGTGGATGAATATTGAGCTTTGTAGTTGGCTGTATGGCTTGAGGAAGGGGAAGGAGACTGAACAGACTGACATGCTGTTTACTGGGATGACATAATGACGAAGTCTGGTTAGGAGGGCATAGCACAAGTTCTTACTCATTATTTAATTTCAGATTCTATGAACTGGTTAGAAATCAAGCCAATGTTCAAATACATACAAAATATATTTGTATAAACTGTACTCTCAGTTCTGTTATCTCTACCTTTATTTAAAATCTTTGGAAAACATAGTTTGTTTGTTTTTTTGTTTAATCTCTGTCCTGACAGCTTTATTATCAATTCATGAAACTTACTTTTGATACTCAAAGGGATAATTCACCGAATAACTCTGCAAATTCCTTTGCCATTTACTCGCCTTCATGCTGTTCCAAACCTGAATGATTTTCTTTCTTCAGTGAAAAAACATAAGATAAGTGGTCTAATGTAGGTCAGACTGCAACAAGCTTTAAAATATCTTCTTTTAATTCCAGAGAAGAAAAGAAAGGCACAGGTGTTTGAAATGCCATGAGGGGAAGTAAAAGATGACAGATTTATAATTTTTAGGTGAACTATGCCTTTAAATATATCAGTTAATAAAAGTATTTCTCCTCATGACCTACTATAAAGTTATGTAAACTTCTACTTGAGTCAAGTTAAATGTTTAGGTGTTTTCATTAACTCTACAGAAAGACTCTTCAGACCTTCAGCGAGTCGATCAGGTCCTCCACCAGAAACAGACGCCGCAGCTCCTTCAGCGCGCCGTTGATCCGGCTCAGAACCACATCACTGTGCCTCTGCACCACATCTTTAGAAAAAGCTACATCCTGATCCAGGTACCGTCTGTGAAAATGAGATGGAAAAATCATCTGTCATTCAAGAAGAGCAGCAGCTATTGATTTGAATTATGGGGACACTCATAGGGGTAGGGGACTAGGGGTCTAGACCTGAGACACTAGGAGCACATTAATAATGTAGGTCAGACTGTTTCTGCTCTGGACTCACTTGAATGGATGCCCCTCATCAGACTTCTGGACGGCCTGCAGGACTCCCCTGTATGTCCTGAAGGAGAGGGTGAGGGACAGCAGGGCCAGTGCGGAGTAGGACAGCACACTGATGATGCTGCAGCTGAGGAGGGAGAGCAGGAGGAAGAGACTGCAGCCCAACACCAGCCCGGTGGCCCTCACATCCCGCCAGTACAGCAGCTCCAGCACTGAAACACACACACACACGTCAGCCTCATGGACCTCAGGGACGGGATGGACATAAGCAGAGAATGAGACGAGCACATGCAGATGATGTGACTGATGCCAGTCTGTGATAAACGCGTGTTTACGGTCACTCAGCAGTCTACCATCACACTCACAAACATCTCAGACTCACAGTCTTCTGCTAAACACAGACAGAGCTCATCTCTGGTCACAAACACACATTTTATATACTGCAAGTAAAGGGGAAATTCACCCACAAACTCATCATTTACAGGCCACCTCTTCAGTTTTATTCACATTTTATGCTGCAGTCTTACACAGAAATGCATTACACTGGGTTTTTTTCACCTAAATCTATACTCCATACATGACAAAGCAAAAACCACATTCAAGATGACTTTGCAAATTTATGAAAAAGTGGTCAAGCAGAGATTATTTGACCACATTTACTTTTCAGAAGTTAATGTGTGTGTATACACGAACACACACACACACACACACACACACACACAGCAACAACAACTCATCAGAGACATTTTTCTCTTTAACAGGAGAAGGTTTACTATGGCAACCATAATTTCTACCAAAATACCAATAACTGTGCCATCAAATAATATGGCATCTCCTTCAAACAGTGTAACCCTTACAAAAATGCACCACGATATTACCATGTTTCAGACAATGTGTGATTTCTGGACACTATTGTGCCTCTGTGAACATACATACATGCTATTTGAATACAATAATTAAACTGTTTGAAGCCATCATCATCATCATCGCAAGAGCTGCTTCATTGTACCATGGAGCCCCATTCTGCTATTTCAGACCTGTTTGAAGAAGGGTTGAGATGGAGTGAAGCGCTGGCCTCAGATGGACACACCCCGCTGACCCTTCACACGATGAGCTCGGTGTGTGAGCGTGAGGAGCGTCAGATCACGCGCATCTGCTAAAGCCCAGGAGACACGCGCTTGACTCCAGATCTGTGTTAGACTGCGCTGAGAAACACGGCTCACGCACGCACCTCATTTCACAAGACACAGCAGCAAATCATTAAAAAAAGGACTACTTCTGCCCCACCGCACCCAGAACCTTTGGCCAGATTATCTGCGCGATACTGACTCTCTCCAGGAGCAAAGGTCATCTCTGTCACCGCAGCATGCTCTGCTGAAGCCCTGCATTCACACTCAAGCTGAACGGCCTCGTCTCGTCTGTTACCGACAGCACAGCGTCAATCAGACGCCACACACACACCAACAGCGCAGCTAGAAGCAACGACACTCAAGCGTCACAAGTAAATTACACGTGCTACAGTGAGAGCGAGTGTGTGAGAGTCCGGCTCTACCCTTGTGTGTCCAGTGCACCGCGGGCCGCTCAAGCGTCTCGTCCATGCTGCTGTGCCACAGTGACTGGAGACTGCAGGCGATCAGAGCCCAGAGGAAGACTAGCGCTGATAGCGGCGGGAGGAGGAGGAGGAGGAGGAGGGAGTCTCCTACACCAGATAAACGCAGCGCTCGGCTGAAAGTGAAACACGGCTCCTCTCGGCCACCACCTACATAGGGGTGTACGATACTGACAAAAAATTATCTAAAAAAAAAATCTCAAAATGTTCTGGGACTTTATCGATAATGATAATTAGACGATATTTTGCCGAGTGTGTTATTGTGCTGATATCTTAAGGACTGCCGTGGACAGCTGACTCCTAAAGTTTTTGATATTCTTCATATTCTGTGTGGTGATCAGTTCACAGCAGTGATAGAAATTTATATTTTCCAATAGGAGTAAAATTATTTTTACCTTTTATGGGCATTTTTACCTTTATAAAGCACTTTTTCTAAAAGTGTGCATTATCTTTTGAGTCAAATTCCTACATTTAACCAGTGAATTAGAATAATAATACATTTGGGCTGTTACTGAGCAAATCAAATCAGTATCAACTAAATTCATCTTTGCAATGCAGAAGAAACACAGAAGCTGCATCTGAAGAGGCATTTAGATGTGTTTACACACGGTTTAGTGCAGGACATGAATGCATTTAACATGCAGTTATAATGTTTTGATATATTAAACATAAAACGTTGAATACTGATATTTGAAATTATTTTAAAAATAAAGATATTTAAAATGTGAAATTAAAACTGCCAGTAGGTGGCAGCAAGTCACTGTTAATAAGGGAGTCATTGCGATTGAACCGAATCATTTAAACGGTTGATTCATTCAGGAACGAAACACCATCATGTTGCTCAGAGAAACAAAACAGTACTGTGTTTGGAATTATTTTTGTTGGCGAAATAGAGCAAAAACATCTAAACGCAAGTCTCTTATTATGACTTCTTGTTTATTGAACTGTTGTATAAAATCAATATCACATTTATAATCATGCTGATTTTTGCACTCTTCGTGTGATATTGATTAACTATGAAATGAAATAAATATATACATTTTCTGCCCCATTTCTTGAATTTTGTGATCATTCTAAATGTATTTTAATAGACTGAATCATGCAGTGAAAGAACACACTCGCTAGTCTAACCTACTAGACTTCACATCATGTATGCGTCTCTGTAGGTGTTCTGTTCGGTTTTTGCGATATACACGATAGTGTAGAGTATCGCACATCGTTAAAACAACAATTACGATATTATCTCGATTGAGATAGGCATATGAGCAGTGTTAGTGCTCTGTAAACACAGTCCCACAGTGATCCAGCTCTTGACCTACAGCATGCCTGCTGCGGTGCTTCATCACGGCTGAAAAATGTGCTGAAAAGAGCCTCGTATGAAGCCTCAACGCTACATACAGTTAATCAATTCACTAATGCTCACATTTATATGTGAGAAAAATAATCCTGATTGCAATATGACAGCAAGTAGTCAATCATATACCAATTGTATTGTTATATTGGGCCACATTTGGTGGGACACTGAACAAATCAAAGGGAAAGGTGATCATGCAAACGGAGTCATAATGCAACATCATGCCATGCCAAAGGTGAGATGCATGAGAGACGCATGAACGATAAGGGCAATAAAGGACAAAACACAAATGACGAAGGTACACGCACAGAAAATGATGGGTAAATGAAAAGGTCCGGTGAAGATGGCGGTCTGTGCTGAATTTACCTGCCGCTGCACTCGGATCACACATGCTGCCTTCAGCTTCCTTCTCCTCGGCTCCAGGTTTATCCGCTGGAGGACGGATTACAGGAGCTGGGGAGATTTCCTGGAAATCAGACTCCAGGCCCGCTTTACCTCTTGCAGGAGAAGGTTTGTCTGACGCCTGGGTGAGGAAATGGTAAGAGCTTTGTTTGTCTGCGTCTTCGATCGTAGGCGTGTGATCTGCCACCTCCTGAGGCTCCAGTTTAGGAGATCTGTCTTCATCCTGCGGCATTTCTGAGGGTTTACTGAAGGCCAGGCTATCCTGCATTTCCAGAAACTCCTCAGCGGCTCCTTGCGGCGGCCGCTCCACAAACTCAAACTCTTCAGACGAGACCTCCTGCTCCGACACCTCCTCGGTGGTGTCCATCGCCCCCTGGATGGCTCGCCGCTCCTGCGTGACTGCATCCAGCACCGGGGAGAAGGAGTCTGCTGACGGACTCTCAGAATCAGATGGTTCTTGAGTGTTTCCGCCGGGGAAGCCGAGACACTCAAATCTGCCAGCCGTCTGAACTGCGGTCTGGCTGATCACCTCTTTGTCCTTCAGAAGGGCGTCGCTCTTTGGAGGCGCCTCTGTCTCTTTCACAAGATCGAAAGCGGTGAAACTTTGCTCGGAGTTGTTCTCCGTTTCCAGCTTGGCCATCTCCATAGCTCTGACCTCCGTCTCCTCGGCCATCTCCTTCAGCAGCAAGATCTTGGAGTCAAATCCAAAGGGACTGTTAGCTGTGAACGGGGAATTTGGGGAATTGTCCACACTTCTGTGAACCGGGCTGAAATCAGGGCTTCCTTCTGACGAGCCCGAGTCCAGTTTGTCAGGGTTCAGCGGAGACGATTTGAGAATATCTGGGAGAGACGTTGGTCGGTCGTCAGATGCCGTGTTGATGTTTGAGTAAAGGTCGGATGGCACGTACGAAAGGGAGACCGACGTGTCAGCATCAGTCTCCGGTTTGAGCTCCTCTGACGGCACGTGGCCTTCATCGTACGCGTCCTGCACCAGGTCTGGAGACGGACTCTCAGACACCTCCACTGATCTCCTGGCAGCGGTGGTCTCCTCGAGGCTGTTGCTCACTGGGGGAAACGCCTGGAATGTACTCTTTTTCATTTCGAACATGAAGTCTTCATTGGACTGGCTCAGCACATCCGGGTGGAACGCTGCCGAGTCCTTATGTCCCAATGGATCCATAGCAAGATTAGCGCTGGCCTGTGAAGCTACGGGTGGAGAATCACAGCGGTCTGTGGGATCAGAGCGAGACTGTGGTTAACCGGAGCCTGGGATACGGATGATCCTGTGAGGCTTCACAATCTACAAACTAAACTAATTTATGACTACTGAAGATGAGATTCTGATTTCCAAGAGCTTGATCATGTTTCTAGACCATTTCTTCTTCAGTAAAAGCATCTGCTTTTCTCTCTAAAATCTATTTATACATATCTGCTCTGAAAGAATGAAATATGATGAGGTTAACTGAGGCTTGCTATAAAGATTAGCTGATGCAAAGCATCACAGGCTTATCTCGCTACAAGGGAAAGTCAGGAGGAAGGCAGAACAATCCACCATCTGAAAGCTTTCAAATCAAAACTAACATCAATCATCTCAGCGGTTCCAGGATCACATTCTGCAGCAAAACTGACTCTGCATTAGGGCTGTCAATAGTGCCAGTGTTTCAATACCAAAAAAGACAGAAAATCACAATAATGCCTTTTTTCCATGCTATCGGCAGTAAACTCAATTTGGTACATGGGTGCCGCAGTTACCAATGGTATTTTAGAGAAGGCTTGGCTTGTGAATGTCAGTAAGGTTATACTGACTCTACTGGAGCTCACAGTCTAAACAACAAGACATCATCTTAATGTCACTTTATTTATACAAGCATTTTGAATAAGTTAAGTTCAAAATGATGGAATATGTTTAATGGCATTTCAGTCTTTATAGTGGTATTATGATGACTGAAAATCAACAAAGTTCACTGGTACTGGTATCATGACAACCCTAGTCCAGATCAGTCCAGATCACTCCTTGTAATGATTAGGTTACTTCAGTTGTTAACTCACAAGAGATTACATTTACATCACACAGCACTGGTCAAATGTCACCCTGAAATGCAAACAATCAAACGGCAACACGACAAAGACGAAAGCAACGCCAGCACAGCAGCAAAGCTGAAACGTACCTGATGGAAACTGAAGGAGAGCAGGAGCGACGGCAGCAGCAACAGAGGGTTCGGGTTCATCTGAAAAACAGCGACGGAGAGGAATTACACACAACACTGCCTCGAGCCCTGGTCAGAGATCAGTCACACATTTACAGGGACTGCCGTCTGAATCAGTGTCAGTCTCTCAAAACTCGCTCTGTGAACATTCAAGGCTAACGCGACAAACGTCAGCTTCAGGAGTGTAGGAGCAGGAGCTGTTTTTTGTGGTAGACATTAAAAACAATTCATTATGTTAAAAATAGTTCATTCAAATGGAGATAATGACACTGTGTTATTGTATGGTTTACTAATCTATACAGAATAAAATCAGCAGCCTGCGGCTTTACCCAATGCAGTCACGTCATGTCAAACGTTTTTCAGCCACACCTGAATAACAAGACTGACAATCCTTCTGAAGCACCAAGAAGTGCAGAACGACATCTTAATTCATAAGAATGGAGTGGAGAATATCCCAAACAGCTTCAGTGTTCTTCAGGCGAATGCAAGTCCTACGGGTTTGGAATGACAGCATCTTTACAGCAAGCTAGTTTTATTTCACAAACTTCATCAAGCATCAAACCAACCGAAAAAACAAGCACTATTAATAAAAACTAGGCTAATCACTTAGAATTCTGTAAAGACTTAATTGCATCTACCATTAAAATTTGTAATTAAATATAATTTTCACAATGAATCTTCAATTTAATGAATAAACGTATTATTTTAGGCAGTAAAGTATGAGAGGCTGTGCTATATTTTGAATATAATAGAAGGGCATAGTTAGCCAACACAAATAAATATAAAAGCCCAAATATGTTTTAATATAGTACTTGTCTGAAGTAAATCATTAGACGGCATTCTTCCGCTAGATAACAGCCCCTGACAGCATGGGCGTCGGGAAACTAAATAAATGTGGGTGGGTCCTCCCCCAGAAAATAATTACTGGAGTATATGCCATTTTCTGAAGTCTGGTGCCTGTTAATTAACGCAGTGTCTATTTAGACAAAGTGCAAACAGGCCGCCTGATTGGCAGAGGCTATTTACATCACCTCCGCCCACTAACGTCACAACATTACAAAAGGCAGCTGCTAAATAACATTTCTAGTGGAGTAAGCGGTAGTCCGCATCCGCCTTTTGCCGAAAAAGTTCTTCTCCTTTTTCACATATCACATCACATCGGAAGACATTTGTTTTCAACAAAAACAAAAATCAAGGAAATAACTGAAAAGTTGTAGTAAAGTATCGGGTGGGGTTAGGTGTATCTGAGCAGCAGATACGCTAAGATGCTTTGTTTACTTTGCCGTGTCGCAGGAGTGCAGCGGGCACGAGTTACGTTAGTGGAAACACGGACTGGAGTTTCATTTATATGGACTCTGAATGGATTTGAGGAGAATTCAAGGCTGTAGCTAAATGGAGTTTAATTTATTAGGGCATTCGTCATGTGGAACGGATTTGACTGACGGCGCTCTGAAAAGTACACAGACATATTCACTGAATTAGAGACGGTAGAAGTGGGTGGGTCCGATATCATTGGTCTTCAAAAGTGGGTGGGTCCTGTCCTGGTTCTGACGCCTGACAGTCACAGTGAACAGCAGGAGTATGTTCACCTGTAACACACCTCGTCTGATCAGACTTCATGATTATAATAGTATATGATATTTTCTGTCACACACACACACACCTGCTAATCTCTCAAGTTTACTTTGCCGTGTCGCAGGAGTGCAGCGGGCACGAGTTACGTTAGTGGAAACACGGACTGGAGTTTCATTTATATGGACTCTGAATGGATTTGAGGAGAATTCAAGGCTGTAGCTAAATGGAGTTTAATTTATTAGGGCATTCGTCATGTGGAACGGATTTGACTGACGGCGCTCTGAAAAGTACACAGACATATTCACTGAATTAGAGACGGTAGAAGTGGGTGGGTCCGATATCATTGGTCTTCAAAAGTGGGTGGGTCCTGTCCTGGTTCTGACGCCTGACAGTCAGTGAACAGCAGGAGTATGTTCACCTGTAACACACCTCGTCTGATCAGACTTCATGATTATAATAGTATATGATATTTTCTGTCACACACACACACACCTGCTAATCTCTCAGCTGAGAAAACGTTAATTTCAGTCTCCTAGATTAAAATAGACTGATAGGAAGAGTGTGGTCTCAAAATTAAATGTGAATGATGCAAAATAACGCCACTTACTCATACTTTATTACATAAATAATAAACAGTTAATAATGTGGAAGTGGAACGGTTTTGATGGTATATGTATAATGTTGTATGTTTCGTGTGTTGTAACAGAGCTGACGCCCTTCGCCATTTTTGTATTAATTTTTGATTGTGCTGCAAATTAGGCCGATTTATAGGCAGGCGCATCTGCGGGCAGCTAAGCGTTGTTGCAGAGCTCCGGAGAATCTCTCTCTGGCTGCGTGAGACGGAGCAGCTCACACTCTGCAGCCGCTTCTTGATCACACACAGCTTCAGCTAATGATGGCAGGACACGTACAGACCGTTTCCAAAGAGGAATTATGTTTTATCCCACTAGAATTGATGCCGGAAAGTTATCATATTCATAAGTGCAACAAGTCATTTGCATGTGAAAGTAGAAACACGTGCAGTTCAGACGAATCTTCTGGGCTGATTATAACGTGCACGTTAGCTTTCCTCATGAAATGTGTGTGTAGGTCCGACAATAGCCTCCACGATGTCATCGCTCGTGGCCAGCGCACTCTTAAGCAGTTATGAACAGCAGGCTGTGTAATACGTGTGAACTCTTTTATTCTTGTTATCTCTTGGCCATTTGACTTATAGCTGTGTCCAGTGTTTCCCATAGATTGAGTTATCACTTTGTTGAATAAACTGAGCACTGCACGTTTCAAAATTAAAATGCAGCGCGGGTGTTTTTATATGAATGTATCTTTGAAAAGATCTGACCGTCTTCAGAAAAGCTACAATGTCATTTTCGTTTCGTCTTTCCTGTAATGCATGATAAAGTAGAGTTTATTAGATTGCAGCCGTTACCGGGGAAACCGCTATATCTTCTGCTCCAACAGCGCCTCCTGCTGGCAGAGAATCAATTCGCATGTGTAAGTCTGTGAGAAACACTGGTGTCTGTCAGCAAACAAACAAAAAGCATGCTTCAGAACTGTTTTGAGAAGGTGCTTTGAGCCATGTTTTATTACTCTGAATTAGGCTACTACTACTATTACTATCTTGTGCCCTGCAATAATCATTTACTCAAACTCACTTTTATGAGATGAAGGGGAAAAAAAAAATCGCCCAAACATATCGGCAACATATATCGGCCATCGGCTGCCATGATTTCTAAATATCGGCATCGGCCAGAGAAAAACCCAATAACATTGTATTCAGCCATAATATAATGTTCACACAGTATTTTCCTAAACATTTTTACTGACTGTGTAAAACATAAAAGAAAGGGATTTTACATAAAATTGTAGGGAAAAGGGATTTTTACATAAAAAGTGATTAATCAAAGAAATAAATCAACAGATTCATGGATTATCAAAGTAATTGCTAGATAAATAAAGCATGACACATGAGCTAGGTAGTGCTGTTAATACTCAGAAGCCTAACTAGCTGGTAGTCCTCTCTAACCAAGTGATGTATTCCTCATGGGAGAGTAAACCCGTGGATGAAGGTCAGTCATCAGTCATGTGCACAGACGCCAGATATGCGCCATTCATTTGTTATATTAAGAAGTTACAGCTTAGTGTATGTGCATACTTTTTCCTTATAGAAGCTGTCGCTATGCTTTATGTTCATTTCCTGTGATTAAGCTACGTTTTGGTAACTGAAGATCAGGAGAAATGTGAATTATGCACTGGATTTTAACTAATCGTTAAGTCAGTGTCAGAATGAACTTATTTATGTACAGCTGAATTTAAAATGTATGCGTTTCTAGCCAATTCCAATTTAAAGCTTAGTATACAAAATATTTTTCTTAAAATCTGTCAATGTTTTATACAACTTCTTGTGTCTAGGTTGAGTCCGTCTTGTGTCCGTGTTTGTAACTGAAGATCTTTAGCAATATAATTATCCGTTCTATTTTAGCTAATTGTTAAGTAATATTATGTTTAAGTCATTATTTCTTAATGTAAAGATGAATTTCTCCAATAAATGCATTCAAAACCAAGTATGTCCTAATATGATGGAAAATACCACTAGGTTATCTGCAACCCTTTCCCAACTGTCGAAGATGTCGGTATGTTGCATGTGAACTTACTGTGTCTATATAGCTCTGTTTCTGTAACTGAAGAACTGAAAATAAATAAAAGGCTTAAGTTTGTTGCATCAACCGTAAGTGAACGCGTGCAATATTTACAGAATACAGTATTTAGAGAAGCTGTCAATAGGTTTTCTACAAATTTCTTATGCAGGCCATATCCTCCATTGTAACTTAAGATCCCGAGCAAGGTGAACTGTTCGTTGTCAGTTTGATAAAATGTTTAAGTTCTAATTTGCTAATGGCAAGCTGAAAAACACATCTATTTTGACATATGCCAAGCACCCACCGGGTAATGAGAGCAAATATTTAAGGCCTGTAGAGTCTCTCACCAGCAGAATATATATAAAACCTTCCGTATAAAACTAACTTTGTCCTTACAATTCTTGTTGCTGTTGTTAATATGAGTAAATTTACATCCAAGTCAAAACCTGTGTTTTACTGTGCATTTCCACGAGGCTCAATATCATTAGTAACTGCACTGATCAGTGAGATGTCATATGCTGTGATGGTATTAGACTCCTGTCACGGCTCTCACGCCTCTATTTGCTTAGTAAGGAAATTCACAGCTACATGTCAGTCTCAGAGTACTAGTAGACTGTTAGGTTAGGGCTGGTAGAGTAAGCTGACATGTCGCTGCAGAGTTACTGATAGTCTATCAGAATAAAGTGTTTCTCTCTCGTATCTGGAGCTCTGGATTTCATAAGGCAGAGTGTCTCCATCCTGATGGAAACGAGCATGAAGACGTCCCAATCTTTAGATGACTGCTGTCCTAAATCACACACACACAGGTGACAGCAGGAGGAACGGCCTCTCCAGATCAATACAGCACTCTTCACTCTCAAACAGGAAGTGCATGCTGAATCAGGCAGAGACTTCCTGCACGGAGGACTAAACAGGTTTGAGATCAACTCTAATTGAGTTTGTCATCCATCCTGAGCTCCATGATATCTCACATTACCACTCTTCTTCTGTGTGTGTGTGTGTGAGAGTGTGTGTGTGTGTGTGTGTGTGTGAGAGAGAGAGTGTGTGTGTGTGTGTGTGTGTGTGTG